AAATCTATCGGATAATGATTATTCAAAATACTCACTTGTCTGAGGATAGCACCTGGAGAAAGGATCTCCCGTAGTACCTTGAGGACAGCTGCATAGCGGATTGTGATTAATTACGCGACAATTAGCTCCCACGCCACATGTTCCTGGGCAGGGATCATTACATTTATATTTATAACAAGCTCTATTTTGAGGACACTCAGAATTCACGACACACTCAGGTTTACAATTAGGTGGAGAACCAACGAACGACTCCTGACAAGTACACACAGCTTGATTTTTCAGTGCTCTGCACAAACTATTAGGTCCACAAGGCGAAGGACTACAAGGATCAATTACTGTAGGCTCGGTGTCTCGACTGATTGGTAAATTGCAAATGCTGAAAGGATCTCCTACGTAGCCTGGTTGACAAGTGCATGTAGGAATATGATTGATGACGGAACACTGAGCTTGGATGCCACATATTCCTGGACACGGATCTTCACATTTGTTTTGAACGCAGGCTTTGTTCGTTGGACAATCTGAACTGAGAATGCATTCCGGTTGACAGCCTTCGTAAGGATTTCCGTGATAATCGTCGATGCAGATACACGCACCGACATTATCACGTTGTTGGCAGATCGCGTTTGGACCACAAGGCGAAGGCTCACATGGGTTAATTGGCTCCTCTGCAATTTGAGATACGAAGCACATTGTTTAAAAATTTATATTTTACTATAATTTCTCATAAATGGACGAAAATTTGCAAATTAATTGACTTTCACATACAGGCCAAGACCAAACAATAATAACTAAATGTTAATGAATAATTTATTCTAATTCTTATAAAATTATTTCAATTACAAGAAACTCTGAAGTCAACTGAAGGAACTCAAATAAAATTTATTTAAAGGAGCTATTGCTGAAAATAATAAAAAGGACTCACGAAGCTACTTAACAATTAAAGAAGTAATTAAAAGAAATAAAATTAAGCTAATAAAATAATAAATTAATTAAAGAAACTTACGTTCTATTTCGACACACTGAACGAAAGGATTTCCTGTGTAATCAGGTGGACAAGAGCAAGTGACAGCATGATTGACTACCAAACATCTGGCATTCTCGGCACAAGATCCTGGACAAGGATCCATGCATTTTGAATTTACGCAAGCTTTATCTGATGGACAATCAGGATTTATAAGACACTCCGGACGACAAGATGGTGGAGTTCCGATATAGGTTGGAAGACAAGAACAGGATGGATAACCATTCACGTTTTGGCATTGAGCATTTGGACCGCATGGTGATGGATTGCAAGGATCTCCCGTGTCTTTCACATCTGGTGAAACTGCAAAAATACATGAATGTAATCAACGTAAAATTTGTCATTTCTCAGTTTCATTTTTAAATAAAATTTTTAATATGCTACGAATTTTGATAATGATTGTTACGAAAAAAGAAGTTCAAAAACCTAGTAACCTCTTATAACATCTAAATTTGTAGTAATTAATTGAAAATTTCTTACTTGGAATATCGTAGCAGCTCTTGAATGGATCTCCAGTCTGTCCAGGAAGACAACTGCAGATTGGTGAGTGATTGATCACTTCACATCTAGCATTCAAACCACAAGAACCCAAGCAAGGATCCGTGCACTTTTTGTTCACGCACGCACGAGTCGGAGGGCATTCTGTACTGACCACACATTCTGGTCTGCACGAAGGTGGTGATCCAAGGTATCCTTGAAGACAAGAACACACTGCGTGGTCCTCGATGTTACGACATTGGCTGTTTGGTCCACACGGTGAAACAGGCAAGCAAGGATCCTTCTTTGCTTCTGGAACTGAGAATGGGTTTTATAATTTTTTGAATATTTTTAGAAAATATATCTTATTCAAAGATTTATTAAATTCGTGAAATTTGAAAGTTCGAAGACTCAAAACTTTGAAAGTTTCGGAATTGAAAAACTTAATAGTAATTCTATTACATGAATTATTTATCTTTCGACTAATTCAAATAAATAAAATTTCATCATTACATTTACCTTGAGGTTGAATACGACAACTAACGAACGGATCCCCAATATATCCAGGTATGCAAGAACATACAGGAATGTGATTCACGATATCGCACACTGCGTTTTGACCGCATGTCCCAGGGCAAGGATCTTTGCATTTATTCTTCAGACAAGTCTTGTCACGTGGACATTCCGAATTGAGGATACATTCTGGTCGACAAGCTTCGTATGGATTACCAATGTATTCCGGTAAACACTCGCAATCTCCATTTTTACATACAGCGTTCGGTCCACAAGGCGATGGACTGCATAGATCACTTATAGTTGGTACAGTTACTAAGAAAAAAAAAAATATTTTTATTAATTTACGTATTATAACAAGTTTGATTATAAATTATTTAACTGACATAGTAATGAAATATTCGTATTTCCTAATAAGTTTTGAAGATTATAGACTATTTAATTAATACAGAAGTGAAATTTTGAAATGAAGAATTTTCATATTTTATAAACAATTTAAAGATCATTTAATTCGCATTAAAATAAAATATCTTCTTACCTGGTGGAGTTACTCTGCACTGCGTAAATGGATCACCAGTGAAACCATCCATGCAAGTGCAAACAGGAATGTGATTCAATACATGACATTGAGCATTGACGCCACAAGAACCTGGACAAGGATCTTGACATTTCTGGTTCACACAAGCAAGATGACTCTTGCATTCGGAGCTTAGAATGCACTCTGGTCTGCATTCTGGAGGAACACCGATGTAATTTGGTAAGCAAGAGCACGCTGGACTGCCTGATATGATCTGGCACAGGGAATTTGGTCCACAAGGAGATGGAGTGCACGATGGTGGTCGTTCCGTGGTCGATGGAACGTCTTGAGCTAATAGATAAATAAATAACATGTCAAATATTTTCAATTTTCTTTTTTTGTCTGTAAGACGAAAGAATAAAAGTTTCGAAAACTTAAGAATCCAACGATTTGCCAAAATTTAGAAGTCGAGAGATTTGAAAGTTTCGATCCAAATCCAAAAAATTTAAGAACTTGAAAATTGAAACATTTAGAAATTAAAGTATTTGAAAATATTTACTGATAAATCTAAAAATTCGAAGGTTGGAGAATTCGAAAATTTTAAAATTTAAAAATTGGAAAATTCAAAAATCTAGAAATTTCAAAACTTAGAAGATTAAAGAATCATCTAAATATTGATTGAAACATACAGTTTACACAATTTTCTATGAAAGGTACACATTTATTAAAATTCTACTATAAATACTTACCAGGCGAGCACTGAGAGAAAGGATCACCCGTAAATCCAACAGGACAGGTGCAAATCGGATTATGATTCTTGGTAGTACATAGTGCTCTTAATCCACAGGTGTTTGGACATGGATCCGCGCACTTTCTATTTAAACAAGCCAAACGAGGTGGACATTCAGCATTGACCACACAGGTTGGTCTACAATTCGGTGGAATTCCTCTGTATTCTGGGAGACACGTGCAAACTGCTTGACCATTCACCTCGCGACATTTACTATTAGGTCCACATGGTGATGGTGAACATGGATCTGATGGTGGCACTCCTAAAAATGAAAATAAACGAATAAAATATTTATTTCATATCTTACCTAATAAAAGATTATCTATTTCAATTTTAGGCAAATTCAATAAAAATTTTTATCTAAAAAAGGAATCAAACATACAGCTTTTGACTCCACTAAATATGAGATAAATGATAAATGAATAAAATATTTATTTCATATTTTACCTAATGAAAGATTATCTATTTCAATTTTAGGCAAATTCAATAAAAATTTTTATCTAAAAAAGGAATCAAACATACAGCCTTTGACTCCACTAAATATGAGATAAATAATAAATAAATAAAGAATTTACTCGTCATTTCTTTAATTTCGCAAGCAAAGTATGGATCTCCCGTATATCCTGGAGGACAAGTACACACTGGAACATGCTCTTGAACATTACAGATGGATAGTGTACCACAAGTGCTTGGACAAGGATCGGAACACTTGAAACCAACGCAAGCCAATTGCGGAGCACAGTCGTTGTTCGATTCACATTCTCTGTGACATCCTTTTACGTTGTCATAAGGATCTCCGATAAGATCTAGTGAACACGCACAAGCTCCTGCACCGTTTCTTTCGCGACACTGAGCATTCGGACCACATGGATTTGGAGAACATGGATTTGTTATGCTTATGTCTGTTGCTAAATAGGATAAAGATTAATTATGATAGAATAAGTATTTGAATATTTTTAAGAATTTAAATTAAATGAAATTTAAGAATTCAGAAATTACAGAATTTATAGATTTAAAAAATCGAAAACTGAAGAGTTTAAGGGTAGTGAAACTTTAAAGATTTGAAAATTTGGTTGTTGAAAAATTAAAAATATATAAATACTTGAAGATACTCGAAAATTAAGAAATTTGAAAATTGAAAGGGCTGAAAATCTAAAAGTTTGGAAATTTTAAAGATACGAGAATTTAAAAACTCTGAGAGTTGACAGGCTTAAGAATTCCAAAATTTAGCTTAAAACAAACAGAAACTTACTTGGAAGTGGTGCCAGAATACATCGAACAGTAGCGTCACCCTCATATCCTTCGGGACAAGTGCAAATAGGCACATGATTCTGCACAGTACATCTAGCCAATTCTCCACAGGCTCCAGGACAAGGATTTTTACACCTCTGATTAATACACGCGGCCGAGTGGAAACAATCTGAATTGTCAACGCACTCTGGTCTGCAATTCGGTGGACGTCCGATGAAGTTCAACAAACAAGAGCACGCAGGTTGAGATCCAATAACTCTGCATTGAGAATTCGGCCCACATGGATTTGGAGAACACGGATTTCCAGGTTGGGACACGTTGAATTTAGTACACTGAACCAATGGATTTCCAGTGTATCCAGTTGTGCAAGTGCAAATAGGATTATGATTCACTGTCAGGCATTTGGTGTTCAGTCCGCAAGAACCTGGACAAGGATCTGCGCACTTGTTCCCGATACACGCTTTATTCTGAGAACATTCTGAGCTCACTGTGCACTCTGGACGACAAGTTGGAGGCACACCGACGAATCCTAATTGACAAAGGCACACAGCGTGTCCATTGTGAACGCGACAATTGCTGTTTGGGCCACAAGGTGATGGTTCGCAAGGATTTACTGGTTCTGGTTTCCGTAGCGTTTCTGACGGTGTACAAGCGTTGAAAGGATCTCCGGTGTAACCAGGAAGGCAGGAACAAGACGGAGCGTGGTTTATTACGCGACAAGTTGCTCCTTGGCCACAAGTGCCTGGACATGGGTTCACACATTTGTTGTTTAGACAGGCTTTGCTACGGTCACAATCGGTGTTTGTCACGCATTCTGGTCGACATCCTGTGTAGGGATCGCCAATGTATTCTGGAAGACAGGTGCATGAGCCAACGCCGCTTCGCTCGTTACAAATAGCATTCGCTCCACATGGAGATGGGTTGCATGGTGTGCGTGGTTGTTCCGTGGTTGTGGGTACTGAGGATTTCAACGTGAAAGTTTGAAAATTTAGTCAGTAATTTGAAAGTTGGGAAATTTCAAAGTTTAGCATCTCGAAAATTTGAAAATCGAAAAACTTAAAAGCCTGAGGTCCTGAGAATCAAAGATTTTCTACAAACGAAATTTTGGAAATTTTGAACTTAAAAATTTTGTTTGAATCTTTGACAAACTGTTAAAAATTTGAAATTTTGAGAATCTAAAGGTTCTTAAAATTCAGAAATGTA